TCCTGAGTAGACTATTTCCTGGGTATACTATGTCCTGAGGCGACTATGTCCTGAGTAGACTATGTCCTGAGTAGACTATGTCCTGAGTAGACTATGACCTGAGACGACTATGTCCTGAGAGGACTATGTCCTGAGTAGACTATGTCCTGAGTAGACTATGTCCTGAGTAGACTATGTCCTGAGTAGACTATATCCTGAGTAGACTATGTCCGGAGACGACTATGTCCTGAGTAGACTATGTCCTAAGTAGACTATGTCCTGAGTAGACTATCTCCTGGGTATACTATGTCCTGAGACGACTATGTCCTGAGTAGACTATGTCCTGAGTAGACTTTGACCTGAGACGACTATGTCCTGAGACGACTATGTCCTGAGTAGACTATGTCCTGAGTAGACTATGTCCTGAGTAGACTATGTCCTGAGTAGACTATGGCCTAAGTAGACTATGGCCTGAGTAGACAATGTCCTGAGTAGACTATGTCCTAAGTAGACTATGTCCTGAGTAGACTATGTCCTGAGTAGACAATGTCCTAAGTAGACTATGTCCTGAGTAGACTATGTCCTGAGTAGACATGTCCTGAGTAGACTTTGTCCTAAGTAGACTATGCCTTGAGTAGACTATGTCCTGAGACGACTATGTCCTGAGACGACTTTGTCCTGAGACGACTATGTCCTGAGACGACTATGTCCTGAGACGACTATGTCCTGAGACGACTTTGTCCTGAGACGACTATGTCCTGAGACGACTATGTCCTGAGACGACTATGTCCTGAGACGACTATGTCCTGAGTAGACTTTGTCTTGAGTAAACTATGTCCTGAGTAGACTATGTCCTGAGACGACTATGTCCTGAGTAGACTATGTCCTAAGTAGACTATGTCCTGAGTAGACTTTGTCTTGAGTAGAACATGTCCTGAGACGACTATGTCCTAAGTAGACAATGTCCTGAGACGACTATGTCCTGAGTAGACTATGTCCTGAGTAGGCTATGTCCTGAGTAGACTATGTCCAAAGTAGATTATATCCTTAGACGACTATGTCCTGAGAAGACAATGTCCTGAGTAGACTATATCCTGAGTAGACTATGTCCTGAGACGACTATGTCCTGAGTAGAATATGTCCTAGGTAGACTATGTCCTGAGTAGACTATGTCCTGAGTAGACTATGACCTGAGTAGACTATGTCCTGAGTAGACTATATCCTGAGTAGACTATGTCCTGAGACGACTATGTCCTGAGACGACTATGTCCTGAGACGACTATGTCCTGAGTAGACTTTGTCTTGAGTAAACTATGTCCTGAGTAGACTTTGTCTTGAGTAGACTATGTCCTTAGTAGACTTTGTCTTGAGTAGAACATGTCCTGAGACGACTATGTCCTGAGTAGACTATGTCCTGAGACGACTATGTCCTGAGTAGACTATGTCCTGAGTAGGCTATATCCTGAGTAGACTATGTCCTGAGACGACTATGTCCTGAGTAGACTATGTCCTAAGTAGACTATGTCCTGAGTAGACGATGTCCTGAGTAGACTATTTCCTGGGTATACTATGTCCTGAGTAGACTATGTCCTGAGAAGACTATGACCTGAGACGACTATGTCCTGAGACGACTATGTCCTGAGTAGACTATGTCCTGAGTAGACTATGTCCTGAGTAGACTATGTCCTGAGTGTACTATATCCTGAGTAGACTATGTCCTGAGACGACTATGTCCTGAGTGGACTATGTCCTAAGTAGACTATGTCCTGAGTAGACTATGTCCTGAGTAGACTATTTCCTGGGTATACTATGTCCTGAGGCGACTATGTCCTGAGTAGACTATGTCCTGAGTAGACTATGTCCTGAGTAGACTATGACCTGAGACGACTATGTCCTGAGACGACTATGTCCTGAGTAGACTATGTCCTGAGACGACTATGTCCTGAGTAGAGTATGTCCTAAGTAGACTATTTCCTTGTTATACTATGTCCTTGGTATACTATGTCCTGAGACGACTATGTCCTGAGTAGACTATGACCTGAGACGACTATGTCCTGAGACGACTATGTCCTGAGTAGACAATGTCCTGAGTAGACTATGTCCTAAGTAGACTATGGCCTGAGTAGACAATGTCCTGAGTAGACTATGTCCTAAGTAGACTATGTCCTGAGTAGACTATGTCCTGAGTAGACAATGTCCTAAGTAGACTATGTCCTGAGTAGACTATGTCCTGAGTAGACATGTCCTGAGTAGACTTTGTCCTGAGTAGACTATTCCTTGAGTAGACTATGTCCTGAGTAGACTATGTCCTGAGTAGACTTTGTCCTGAGTAGACTATGCCCTGAGTAGACTATGTCCTTAGTAGACTATGTCCTGAGTAGACTTTGTCCTGAGACGACAAGTCCTGAGTAAATTTTGTCCTGAGTAGACTATGTCCTGAGACGACAAGTCCTGAGACGACTATGTCCTGAATAGACTATGTCCTGAGTAGACTATGTCCTGAGTAGGCTATGTCGACAATGGAAGTTTTTTTCATTTTAGATCGAACAGAAAGAGCTTTAAATAGATTTGGCTGGGTCAAACATGAAATATTCGGACTACAAACTTTATTCAGTTATAAAAGCTACACAAAATGTGAATACGAAAATATATATACACTTTGAAGAAAGGGTAGCACCCCCAGACATTTTTCATCTTTCAACAACTATTTAAACAAGTGCTGGAATGAAACAACTGACAAAATGGGCTCGGATCAACGTATGTGATCTGTACATTTATAACGTCAACGCTAGAGAAAACCCAGTCCTTACTAGTTGTCAAGCCACCGAAAAAGATTCGAACAACACTCTGACAAAAGGAAACTGGCACCAGCTGAGATTGAATTTCAATCACGATATTTTAGCACAATCACCGGTGATGTTTTGACCCTAAAACTATATCCCTATAATGTATGAAGCTGCTGCGGTCACAACACGATTTCAGGGGGCTATTTTGGGATACAATTTCATTTTGAGTCCCTACATGGCACCTCCAGTCCAAAGTTCTTTAGCGAGGAAACCCTTCCGTGCCAAGATGATGGCAACCATCCTGCATCTCAGTCCTCCAGTCAGACGTCGGATCTGCTGAAGGGGCAACTACAACCCGTTTTGGGGGACAGTTTGTTTTCCCAATTCACGCAGATTCTATACAGTGAGTGAGTTAGGTTTAACGCCGCTTTTAACATTATTCCAGTTATATCACGGCGTGTCAGCTTAATGTGGGAGGAAAGCCTGAAGTGATGCAGGTCTCAGACGTTTACCACTTCGGTGAAACCCACGAGCTGACAGACATAAGCTGAGAAACATCATCGGGTCGAACCGGGATTTGAACCCACAATCATAGGTTTTTGGCGTGCCCAAGGGACGCAACTCTGCGCAGCGAATCGCGGCACCTTAGACGACTGGGCCACCCGTGCCGCTACAGCCCCCCCCCCCCCCCCCCCCCCCCCACCCACACACACACACACACACACCCCCCCCACACACACACACCCCCACCCCCACCCCCACACCCCCAAAACAAGTGTCTGCATGAACTTTGTCCTTACACTGCAGATCAAGTTTTATAGCTATTTTTACCCATGGGATACACGCTTGACTGAAAATCAATGGTAAAGTAAACATGACCTAGATAAAGAGAAACGTTATCTCTGTACGAGTAAATAGCTATGCACTGCTCAATACATTTTTTCCTATAACATTCTTGATTGTGATATATGATCATGTTCGGTTTTTCAAGCTAGGAACAAGTTTGTTTGTTTTTTAACGTGGTTGTAAATCAATCCTAAATTAGGTTATCGTGCCAGTGAAAGGATGGGTGCAGTGAGATACATTCTTGTGTGAGCAGAATATCAGAACAGTATAGTGAGTGTGTGAGTACTGCCTTGTGCCGCCTTTAGCAAAAACTCCAGCAATATCACGGCGGGGGACACCAAGTGTGGGCTTCAAACATTGTACCCATTCTGGGAATCGAACTCAGGTCTTCGTCGTGACGATCGACGCTTTAACCACTAGACTACCCCACCTCCCCTCTGAGCATTATAGGACAACAGGGAAGAAGTTTGTTCGTTTGTTGTTTAACGCCGCACTCAGCAATATTCCAACCATATGACGGCGGTCTACAAATAAACGAATCTGGACCAGACAATCCAGTTATTGACATTACAAGCATCGATTGGAATACGATGACATGTATAAACCAAGTCAGCGAGCCTTACCAGCGGATGTAATTCAACACAGACGTCAAGTAGAAAATACATTAATAGACCGATGGCATTAAGGCGAAACCAAGCTAAATTGAACTCACATAGCATGTGTATGTCTTAACGGGCGAATATTTTTAACAATCAATGAGTCAATTTGTAAAACTTTATTATTTCATCATTTTATTATATGACTGAAAATGTCATTTATTTCACAAACTTACTGAAATATTTGACACATTTGTGATTTTGTGCACAAATTTGTATAGAAATATTGAACTTTCTTTGAGTTTTGCTCCAGCAAAAACATATACCCCTGCAGATAACGTTAACGACTAGATTGTAGGTGGCCTCTAGCGTAGATGGTAAAACAGTGAATGGGAGCCTGGATACTCGCATATTATATCAGTATCTTTACACGGCATCTGCATGTGTGTTTTATATAACAAACATACAAATCAATAATGGCCGCTAAACGGATTTAATCTTGACATACATTAAGAAACTTACAATGTTGCTACATAATGCCAACTTTCAATAGTTTCTTTACAGAACCTTTTAAGAAATGATTTATAAGTAAACGTAATGAGAACAAAATGATCAAACGGAGACTCCGATATGGTACGCTATGTAAGTAAAATGCTACCTTGAATACAACATGGCCGCGACGCCAAGTTATATGCAACCAGAAAACAATGAAGTTTATGCCATCAAAACTTCATTTAACTTTTACCATTACTATTGAGAACCTTACAAGATATGATCTTAAAAGTAAAATATTTTCGAGAAAAGTCTACCAGAGGTAAGAATGAATATTGTCTCATCCAGAATAAAGTACAAAGATGCGAAACAGCAGATACATGTGAACTTTGGCAGCAATAGGACGAGCATTGATGTTCGAATTATCTTCCCATCACCACTGGACCCATACTCGTGTTCATGGGTTTCATCACTTCAGGCTTTCCTACCACATCAAACTGACACGACGTGGTATAACAGGAATGCCGTTCAAAGCTGCGTTAAACCCATTGTAACTATTCAGTAATGACGGATATAACTCTGTAGGATTCAACTACGTTGTGTCACACTAAATCAGTCATACCTTATCTTTTCAGGGTGTAATACCATGACGACTGAATACAACGAAAATATGGCAGAGTATGGCACAAGGGATTGATAGTAAGTATTATCATATATAACTTTACTTCATTAAATATCAAAGATATCTAGGGTACATTAACAGTATAAGTGACAGTTTTCAAGTAAAATCACAGTTGTCACATTGTAAATAAAATACACCACTATACCCTTGTTACATGAACACATAACCATAACAGTGAATATAATAAATTTCTGTGGAATCTAATTGGAACCAGTTCTGTCGTGGTCTTGTAAATTTCCCTGTTTCTGCTAATGTAAGTCAGTGTAAAGATTGACATTGCATGCTTAGATGTTGAAAATAAAATAAAAAATGCACATTACGTGAGACATACATGTTGCTTCTGTAAAAGATAACCTTGTGAGGGTAAAATGCAAATCATTTGTTGATCCCATCTTTATTTCAAAACAGGTTGCTGTGACTGTGAAGAGGTAGCAACAGCCTTCTCCCCTTGTCGTAATGGAGCCTATTTGTTCTTGATACACCTGGATGTTTATCTTTTTTCTTCTAAGGTGAAACATAACAAGGAAAAACAGAGAAAGTTGAAAGAAATTGAGAAGAAGGTATCAGCATTACGAAATACGTCAGGTGGAGAGATCCTTGTTCATCTGTGTGGTCAAGACACAGGAGACAGGTACCTTGGGCACTTTGACAACTTCACAGATTCCTGCCTAAAGAATTTAATCCCTGACGGAAAACTGTTTACTGATGTTTATAAACGTCAATGGTTGTGTGATGTTATTTCCAGTTTTGAAGATCACCCTGTACTTCTCCTCAGTGTAGAAAAATCAAAGTTTGTAACTACAGTACATTTCTACACAAAAGTCCCATCGGATTGTATGATTGAAAATGCTTCGACCAATGTGATTGTCTCACTCCTGTCTAGAAAGGTGAACCCAGCAGAGACAGAACCAACACTAAGAGGAATTGACAACTGTACACAGCAACTACATGAAAACAGAAACATTGAACTTAAAAGTGTGTTTTTGAAGAAGGATCGAACATTTCGTGATATTTCCTCATTTGTTGATTACATCTGGACAGATCTGAGATTCAGAGAAAATTTATGTTCCATGTCAAAACTTGAGAGTGGGGGTTCTTTCTTCGTGGGAATAAATGAAAGCAATGGAGGGCGGACATACGAATCCAGGCAAATATATCCCAATGGTTTTCCCTGCCCCTGGAGTGTTGAGGAGTTCCAAACGTCTTTGGAAGTGAAATTACAGTGTGACGCATCCTATCAAAGTCCAGACGGAACTCTGACTCCAGTCCCTGCTAGCATCATAGAGGTCGCACTGTACAACTCTCCTGTGCAGGAAAATGCTAAAGTTTTAGAAATTGCAGTCGGGTACTCTGCGGGTATTATATTCTATAATAAAAAGGGGCCTGAAACTTACACTATTGACAATAAGGGACAAATACGTAGATTGGAGCATTGTGAATGGTTGGAGAGAATAAAGGCCTTTACTGTTGGTGCTACACAGTAGCAGTGATTTGAACATGTCTAGCCACAGAAGTGATGAATCTTTAGTTTCATACCCTTCGTCTTTCTCTGACCAAGAATTCCATGCTTTTGGAAGGGTTTCATTGGATTATACTTGTCCTGCTGGAGGTAAGACTGATTGGCTTTGTTGTAGCGATATTTACCATATATAAGTGTATAATTAGAATAGGTCTTCAACCCATGATTGCCGTAAAAGGTCACCATTCTTGTCGCCAAAGGCGCCAACGGGACCGGGTGGTCAGGCTCGCTGACTTGGTTGATGGATGTCATCGATCCCAATTACGTAGATTGATGCTCATGATATCATTTACTGGATTGTCTGGTCCAGACTCGATTATTTACAGACCGCCACCATATACGAGGGGTATATTTCCCCTGACCCACTTCCGATGGACCTAGTGGAATGAAACTTGACATAGTCTCCACACAGGAACCACCAAGAGTTACACACTTCTCCCATCGTTTTATGCAACTATGGAGACCTCGCTTGTAAAAGCCCTCATTTTGCGTCTCAAACCAGGACTTCGCTTCAGAAATCAGTGTTTCATCATCTGTGAACCGTTTTCCCTTCAAAAATGACTTCATAGTTGGAAAGAGGTGGAAGTCAGATGGTGCAGTGAGCAACCTGGGAATCCATCGTGCAGACACATTATGCATGTTCAAATTGTCATGGATGATTTTTTTCACAGACCCTACACTGATCTTGACATCTTGTGCTAAATGGCGAACAGTTATATGTCGGTCTGCCAAAATGGCGGTCTCCACTTGATGTATAGTGTCCTAATCAATGGCTGAATGGGGGCGACCAGGAATGGCAGCTGTTTCCACAGATGTCCGACCACACTTGAACTGGCGATGCCAGTGTTCAACAACGTCATATGATGAGGCATCTTCCCCATAAGTTGCTGTCATTTCATCAAAAGTTTCTTTTGGTGTGCGACCTTTCAAATATAAAAACCTAATCACTGCTCGGTATTCTTCTGGCTCCATTGTCACACCCAACTCGACCATAACACCTGTAAAAGTGGTAAGATTAATAGTTCGGTGCTGCAAATTCAGACATAACCCATAGATACATGTATCATTACACATGTGAACTTTCAACCAAATATGATAACATTAAGTGGTTCAGGGGAAATCTTTAATGAACACCCCTCGTAGGTTGAATATAGCTGAGTGGGGCGTTAAACAACAATCAAACGAAAACGAAGCAAACGATTAATAATAGCTTGGGAGATTTATTTGTATATAGATCGATCTATTGACGTAAAGGGGCCACCAGCCCGTTATACATGTAGAGGACAGTACCAATTATGAAAGAGCACAGAATATTAATTAGTATAGCATGTAACACACATTATTCTGTTGATATTGATTAAATTATACATGACTGACAGTATTGGCATTTCCTTCAAATACATCAGATTTTCTCCTAAAAAACATTTGAAGCTCTGCATGGCTGGGAGATGTGCAATAGTACACTACTCAACGTTTTCTAAAGATCAAGTTTTGATAATCCAAAAATAGATTGAGATATCCTGGTACACAATGATTGGGTAAACCCAATGCCACCTCAATTTCATGATGAACGGACAGAGGTATACTTCAATCGGCATATTTCATAAGTGTAGGCCATCGGCCCATGGTTACATTTGTATTACAATGGACGTGATGTACACAGATCTTATTGTTCTGACAAAAGGAAGTGGCATAGTTCGATAGATAATAATAACTAGACGTTTAGTTAATTTTCAATCATGTGTAGACATAATTATATATTATTTTTTTGTTTCATTGTTTTTGGTAAGTGATCCACCCATAACTTGTTATAACCGGGGCAAACTAACAAAAAATGATACTCGTCCTCCAAATACCCAGCATTACAAACACAACATTGTCTTCTGCAACATGGGATATTAGCGTATCTCCCAGTTTCAGCACATAGCTAATGCGAAAAACATCTAAACCTAGCAAGCCCTACTCTCAATTTATTGACGGTCACACATCTAAGATGACATATACACTGGTGTTGCCAAACCCCAAGCTGAACAATAAAGATTTACATTTTGTCACCCACTCGATATTACCATAGCTTTCTGCCTGAAGCATCATATAATGATAACATTTCTTTGGAATGCGACAATCGAACAATAACTTTATCAAATAACCAATAACTCTTCTGTATGCATTAAGATATAATGGATAACGCACAAATTCGACTCGAACCATGTTGTTGGGTGTTGACACCTAGAAAGCGCGTGCATGCCAATGTATATATAGTTTTTATTTCATCATTCTTTTGGGACTTTTTACATATTAAATATTTTAAAATACAAGTCATGTCGAAGAGGATGTAATTTTGTCAATGACTTTAAAATTCCAAACATTGCTTTTTCCCCCTTAAAACCATCATTAGAAAAATGAGAGAGTGAGTGAGTTAATGCTTTACGTCACATCGGCAATATTTCAGCCATATCGTGACGACATTAGAAAAATGACTAGACCAGGACATGCTTCTAGTACAAGATAAGCACTCAAACTTCAGACCTTTCTAGTACCAAATCTCTTTTCTTGACAGGGGCGGTCGGGTAGCCTAGTGGTTAAAGCGTTCGCTCGTCACGCAGAAGACCCGGGTTCGATTCCCGACATGGGTACAATGTGTGAAGCCCTTTTCTGGTGTCCCCCGCCGTCATATTGCTGGAATATTGCTAAAAGCGGCGTAAAACCATACTCACTCACTCACTTTTCTTGACAACACTTAATCTTTCTTAAAAACAGAAGTATACAGTCATTGACGATGTGCTCGAAGTGCACCCAGTTGTAAAAGGTGACCGAATTAGGCAAAGTGTTTGCCATGGGTTGCACCCCTATGTCGTAAGAGGGATTCTGGTAGTTGAGGGCACTGGTTCCAGGTACATGGTTTCTTTGCCCAACACGCTACTTTAACCCTACCTTCACCTTCACGGGTTGTACAATGGGCCCGGTTCTTTAAATCTGCTGGTCACCCCATGCCCTGTGTATGAAACCCGTTCTTATCGAAAATGGGGGGCACGGGTGGCCCAGTCGTCTGAGGCACCTCAATTCGCTGTGCAGAGTTGCGTCCCTTGGGCACACCAGAAACCTATGATTGTGGGTTCGAATCCCGGTTCGCCCCGATTATGTTTCTTGGTTTGTCAGCACCATACCCGTGCTCGTGGATTTCACCGAAGTGGTAAACGTCTGAGACCTGCACGAAATTAAACCAAGTATCGGTTATACCTTTTGGGTTGTCAGTCCAGATTTGAAGAAGTCATTATGCGACGATGTCGTATTGACCCAATAGATATACGTATGAATATTTATTGAAAGGTGAGGATCATGTCCTGCTTAACTGTGTTGATTCTGTTGAGTGTAAAAACACTCAAGGGCCTTTTTAGTAATGTTAATTCTCATTTAAAAGAAATAGAACTTATTAAGAAATTGTTGACTAAGTGTATTATTTTATAAGTTGGTTGTTTTAATTTATAACTAAGATTGTTAGTGGTTGTTCCCTCATGGGAGGTTAAAGTAGCGTAACATTATTGTCCCACCTTAAGAAGGTATGTAACTTCCACATCATGCGAAACATTTTTATGCATGCTAAACGAAATATATTCGTCATTTTAATCTTTGGCTTAACTGTTAAACTATCGCCAGGGACTAAAGGGATGACATAAATCCTTCCGGGGTCCATGCAGGAGTCCCCATGGTTCCTAGTATAGTTATCTCCCGCTATTTACTGATGGTCTCTGGCCCATTCTTATATTTTGTTAACTAATACTTTCTGCTTTTACATGTATTCAACTAGTCTTAAATGGAATCTGTGATAGTCTAGTTATTGTACTGTTCATCGGCGACAGGTTTTCTACTTCGTCCAAATATATATATTATTGATGTATAACTTTTCATCACGATATTACTGAAATATTGCAGATGAGACGTTAGAAATAATTCACTCCCTCGATCTTGGAATAATGTACATTCTTCCTACTTTTTTATCTAATAAAAGTATTTCTGTAAATTGTAATGTTAATATGTCTGGAAAGAAAGTTATAGTCAAGCTTATTATTATTCAATGAAGCTCTGGTTTAGAATAATTATGTATCTCACCAATCCACGCTTGGTAATCAATATGTAAATATCTCTGTTTAAAGAGAGATATACATTCTTATTTCCAACATTTTGTTGCTTTATCAAACTCATACCTAGAAAGTTGTGGTTTCATATTTGCAGCACAACAGACTTTCTTTCATTCTGCTCTGTGATGCTGGAAATTACATGAATGCATCAAGATAGGTATTACTTCCTGAGACATCAGTCTTATGCCCAAACTTGACTATCCGAACTAGACTGTAATTTCTGGGTTCCATCTTAGCGCCACCAGTGGCTATTACGAATTATGACCCTTTGGTGTCCCCCGACCCCACCCCTACTGACCAATCAGATTCTATCTCTCATATTGTTAGTTTGTTTGTTTGTTGTTTAACCCCACATAATATTCAGCTATTGGACGACGATCAGTAAATAATCGAGGCTGCACAAGCCAATCATGTGATTGACAACATGAGCATCGATCCACGCAATTGGGATCGATGAAATGCTTTGACCACGTCCTACTCCTGGACTGTTCCACTACTAAATTGTTGTTTTAACCAAGTGGAATGATTTTGGCATGTAGTTGTTTAGGACAACCCTACCTACATGAAAAAAATCAGCTGTGTGTGAAAACAGTAATACAGTCAACCCTTTTGTTAGTTCTAGGTCAAAATATTACATTTAGATCTATATTTGACAAGTTAACCTTATTTCAGATTCCGACAACAATGTGGAAGTGCGTAGACCAACTTCATTTAACCGAATCGGGACAATACAAGAAGAGGCATCTACAGGTATGCAATGCATTTCATCAACGTGTTAAATGCGACTTTTGACCAATTTCTTCTGCATGTCACCTTTGATCTTTTATGAAGAATATTAGAAATCTAAATTATTCTATATAAATTCATTATCTATCCCACATATTATCATATTGACCCTACTAATGTTTATAAATGTGACTGTAATTGGTATGTTTTAGTTCAATTATTCACTGGCCAGAACTCTTCTCGTATATTTTGTTAGCAGCCTACCGGAAAAGGTGATGACTAGTTTGTAAATATGTTTGATATATATTGTGTTCTTATTTCAGATACTGAAACGGCAACTGATGCGCATCTGTCTACCACATTCACCAGTAGCTTATTTCAGAAGGACACATATGACACAGGTATGTTGACGTAAGGAATGATAGCATGAAACCTCAACGCCAGTTAATAACCAGTCTCGACCAAATGATGGAACAGATTCCACGTAAAAGGCAAAACAGAAGATCGCAAACTCTTATTTTGGAAAAATATGTTTACCATATAGGTTTCAAAATTGAAGACAACCATGTATTTTACCTCTAATGCTGGTTCATCATTCATAATTTCATAAGTCTGGTTTGCATTTCAAAAGGATTATTTCGTGTCGCCTGTGTATCAACTAAAAATATGATCAGAACTAAAATGTTTCAATATAGTTCTGTTCCCATGGCCACCATGGCAGCTGTATCGAAAATGATCTTTGTTGCCTATGTGATAAGTAATTGGAATACGTTACGTATCGATTCCCAAATTGAAACAGTATGTTAATCCAGAAATCTGTACTTACAGAAAACTAAGTCTGAAACCAACAAACAACCAACAAAATGATATATAAATCAACAAATGTATTACTAAATTACCTAGGTATACAAATAAATACAAATTACTGCATAGCACTTACAATGGCAGTAAAAAATGTTGTGGTAGTACAATTTTCAATGGTAATATACTGAGTCAAATAAAAAACCTCACATTTTTAAAAGTAATCCCATATATGATATACAACGGACAAATGTATCAGCGAAGGTAATTTTTAATCAATAATGTCCAAAGAAGGATTTTAATTAACGGTGGTAACCAAAATTTGTTCCAAGCACCTACGGTATTCGGTAATACGAGCGTAACATCAACAGTTTAGATCATAAGTCCCAAGCATGAGAATCTGATGACACACAAGTTCAGTATCGTGTATGGCCACCATGTGCGTTGACAACTGCCACGCAACGCCTCCGCATGGACCTTGTGGTGCTTGTGAACACATGATTGGGAAGACGACGCCATTGTTGCTGCAAAATGGTGCCAAGATCTTGCAAATTCTGTGGTTGGTTCTGGAGAGTGCGCAGACTTCTGCCAAGAGCATCCCAGACGTGTTCGATGGGATTGAGGTCGGGAGACCTTGACGGCCAGTCCATGACGTTGACTCCCGCATTCTGAAGGAAATTTCTTGTCAGAATTGCTGTGTGTGGGGTCAGGCATTGTCGTGTTGGAAGATCAAACCGGGCCCATGTGCTGCCATAAAAGGCAGAAGTTCTGGTGCCAGTACCTGGTCGCGGTAAGCAGCAGCGTTGAGGCTGCAACGGATGACAAGAAGCCTGGAACGTGCATAGAAAGTACCCCACACCATGACACTTCCGCCTCGAAATCTGTCAACTTCCTGTACACAACATTGGGCGTAACGTTCATGACGGCGCCTCCACACCCTCGCCCTACCATCAGCAAATCGAAGATTAAATCGGGATTCATCACTGAAGACGACTAGATTCCAATTCCTCTGAGTCCATAGTAAGTGTGGCTGTGCCCTTGACGTTGATGTCTGTGTAATTGAGTCAGAACCGGCCCGCAGTATGGCCGTCGTGCTTGAAGGTGAGCAGTTCTCAGACGGTTTCGAACAGTTTGCGCACTCAGTCTACCCCTAAACATTTAACTTCTGGTTGATGTCGCCGTCAAAAATCGGTTACGGATGTGGCGTCACACGTGGTCGACCTGGCCGAGGACGATCAGCGGTGGTACCCGTTTGCTGTAGACGCGTCTGTAACTCATAAACGGTCCGTCGACTACAACACATCGTCCTTGCGACTTCAGCTACGGACGTTTCCGTCTGCAACATGCCGATGGCACGTTCACGTTGCACATTTGGAAGTCGTGGCATGACAAAGACTTTTGTTTTCTTGTGTGTTTCTTTTTTGTTAATGACTGCTAACAAGTATGTCTGAAAACACGTGCGGCATTATGGCCACGTGACCAGATGCACGTGAAAAAACACTTTTGCCACTATAGTGCTGTGCACATGATTTTGATCGATTCACCTGCACAAAAACGGTGTTATCTGAAGACAATACGTGGCCATTACTGTTTAAATACACAATAAGGGCCCACAATGATAACTGGTCAAAATGTTAAAATTTTAGGATTGTGAAGTTTTTAATCTGGTTCAGTATATATAACACGATGGCAGAGGTCAGTATTCAACACACAAATACAGTGGTGATAGCAAAAGTCAGTGAAAATAATATATATTCACCCAGCGGCGACAGTAGTCAATCTTCTGAGATGGACTAGGGAGGGAATCAGGGTTGATGAGCGATCCTCACATGAAATGCGTGAGAGATACGTAAACACGCTATTACGCCTTATATACAACCTACCCAGTCACTGGAAAGTTCAAAACATTGCTTTCACCAGTCTATTGGCACTAGAACATTAAAGCGAAAGAATTAAAATTTAATGTTGCATCGGCATTATTTCAGCCATATAGCGACGAGACCAAGTTATATATTCACAATTGAGTTATTTATTCAAAGTTATATTTAAAAGCAATTTATGAAACATATTTGAGCATAACAATATCATGTACAACTTTAAACACGGGCCATAGGCCACCAGTAACCAAAGCTAGGCCACCTCGCTGGGGATCACGGGGACTTACAGTACCTCCGCTTCCTGCATGATACCCCAGCAGGATTTACGTCATCACTTTAGCTACTGGTGGTTGTTGAACATTAATTAGATACTATCACCGTCCGCGGTATGCCGGGCCGCAATTTTACAAACCACACTAGCATCTAAATATAGTAACTTTCTGACGCGATTGATCACTGTTCAAGCACAATGCAATGAGCTTCTACCGAATCACTACAAAAAGAATGCAACACAGCTTCAATTACGGTTAAGCAATAAAATACACTGCCATATAACAAACAACGTACATGTTTAAGGACTTGATGATTTTGTCCCTGCTGCCAAATTTGGTTTTTAACCTACACGGTGCATGGGCGATATCAGATGATATATATCGCCTTCATGAGAAACCTTTTGGCACATCATCCATGTTGGTTGGTTTGTTGTTTAACGCCGCACTCAGCAATATTCCAGCTATATGACGACGGTCTGCAAATAATCGAGTCTGGACCAGACAATCCAGTGATTTACATCATGAGCATCGATCCACGCAATTGGGATACGATGGCATGCATCAACCTGACTTCACGGGTCATGAAAGGTCGTGAGAGACCTACTTGAAAGGTGAGGGATAAGTGAAGGTAATTCGTAGAATACGTATTCACAACGTATTCTCATTTCTGTTGAAACTGAAACTGAAAGGCAATCACAACTATAATGTAGTGATACCAATCTTATAACATCAGTGGTAGGTCACTGTGACCTACTTTCGAAGAGGAGCCTATGCTCTATTGATTTTGTTACAAAGATTATGACCTAGTGACATCATATTTTGTTTGACATGCCAGAAAAATGCAGAAATGTAATTTCGCAAAATTAACAGGTAGTTGTATTGACTCAACCCAAAAAGTACGAGAATCTGTAATTTACTAAAAAAGTGCTACATTTGACCACTTTCCAAATGGCATTGTGTATTCATAGCTTTTGGCCATTGGAGCCGTGCCAATTTACACTTGTCAGAGGGGTACTCAAAGTACCTGATCTAGACTACCAGTTGTCGGACTTTCATTCTTTCGGAAGCCTCGGTGGTTGAGTGGGTTAGATCGCTGACTTTGTGTGCTGGCGATTAGGTGCCTGATTCTGGCAAGTGTGCCACATGCCGCTCCTGTTTTGCAAGTGTATTACACAAGTCGTTCCTTGGTATAAAGACTTTTTTCATGTTTCAGGTGCATTTGTCATCTACCCTAAATGTATGCAGAGGATGTTGTCAAGCGAGTACCCAAAGATTGTGTCAGAACTTGAAGAAATATATCGACTGGGAGCATTTATCTACATCGGATCGTCTTTCCAATGTCTGTCTCCTGTTACCCAAAAGTACTTTCACAAAATCAACACGACATTGATATGTGACATGTGCATTTTTCCAACGAACAAGCCAGTAACATTGATCACTTTTGGAAAAGACAACAAAGTGAAGTATCACCTTGACAACTACAATTTAGAAATGAAAAGTAACTTGGAACAATGGATAGGCAACACAATCGCTGAATTCAAAGCCTTGCCTGTGGTTGTAACTGCTGAAGACATTCAAATCAGAGGAAACGTCGAGCGCCTTATTGCAAAACAGGAATCAGTGACAAAAGTTCTTCCACTACCGGAGGCTCAACTGATTTCGGCTGTTGAAGCCTTTCTGCAGAAACTGGCAACCTGCAAGTTCGTTCAACGTTTTCATGCCCCTCCTGGTGGAACTGTATATCTTGTTAAGGACTTATTTGAAGAGTTCACTGAACTCATGGAAGAGACCAAACAAACAGTAATTGTGTATCCTAAACATGCATCAGGATATACAATACTTCTGATTTGTGAACTAGCCTACAGGTTAGCTTTGATTGGACACACATCTCTTCATTCGAAAACAGACGTGAAAAAAGAATTTGAAAAACTAAGGTATGGTTTTTAATTAATATATGATTTATTATATATTTTCCTTGGCAAATGAAGTAAAGGGATCAAATAAATAAAAAAACCAACATCTTATTTGTTCGTATATATGTTTTCTAAATATTTTGCATATACCTATAATAAATAAATCCCTGTACATACATCCAATATGGTCTTTAAATTGCTTGACTTCTTGAGTAGTGTTGACAAAGATGTTTGCATTACATGCAAAAACGGAGGCAGCCCAACCCAATCTTTCCTGGATCCCCAAAACATTTCTGAATAAACGGGATCGGATGGTCAGGCTCCCTGACTTGTTTGATGCATGTCATCGATCGCACTTGAGTGGATCGATGCTCGTGATATCAGTCACTGGTCTGACTAATCCAGACTCTATTATTTACAGACCGCCGTCATATAGCTGGTATATTGATGAGTGCGTCATTAAACAAAAAACCCAACCAAAAACAGAATAGAATATGTCCATAGCAACCTAAGCTGGTAGCAAGAGGCGACGTAATGTATTAGGCGTTCAAGCTTGATGAAAGCACGACGTGGAAATTGCGCAAAATATCAGTCACTAGATTGTCTGGCCCAAACTTGGAATTGTATTGCCGCCGTATAATAGCTGATATATTGCTGCGTGGGGCTTTTAACAACAAACAAACAAATCAGTCCCACCAGAAACATGTGTCCTGTGCCCTTTGGGCAATATCTTTCAACAAGACTTGGCAGATACATTAAACATATCCTAGAGTGGTACCGGTGCCTTTTGCTATTTCCTGATTTTTGGCATTTTTATGTTTCTCAAATTCCATGGAAACAGTTTGGACGTCTCAAAAGTTGGAACCGGCGAGCTTTGTCATCTTCCCATTATCTAGTTTATTCGGTACAACAGAAATTATTATGTCTCTATGCCAATGTTTTAAGCCCATAAGTTATATTATATGACTGTCGGCTTAGGGAAAAACCTAAGTAGTACAAGCCACACGCAGTACAAATTTGAAACAGAATCTCCCATGCCTCTAGCTACAATTATCTACAAAGTAATATATCTATATTTTCAGCGAAGCACAGAACATTTCAATATCGATCACTTACGGCAAACATGTTGCTGATGAGAACTTGCAAGAAGGCGACGTGCTCTTGTCATCGTGGGCTGGGCGTACGATTCTATTTCGAACGGGTAAGTGTCATTCATTTTTTAATGGTTAGATACTGCTCACAAAAAGAGGGGGGATACTGAAACATGTTGTTTGTAATAACCGGAAGGAATATAGATATGCAAAAGGTGATTGGTACGTTCACTGGCTCCAGGACAAAACGGACCTGGGGATCAGGGACCTGACTCGGTTTAACAGAAGCATATAATAAGATTCCATCAGGCAATAGACATCCGATTCAGAATACAAACGGTTCTGCAGTGGTTGAGAAGTCAGACCCCGAAAATAGCAAAATTGTGTTGCAGATCTGGCGACAAAATGGGATGTGATTTTTTATAATCAGGAATGATTAAGCTTTGATTTAAGACCGGTTGTCATCACCTTGCGTTACTACATCGCAGAGGCCCTTTTTAAATAAGGTGCAACATTTCATTTTAATTAAGATAATATCTTAACCGTTTACTGGAAAGTTTTACTTAATAACTTTGGTTTGGATTGGCCGATTTTAATCAAATACGTATCTATGGGTATATTTATTTCGGCCACGTTTTTAATAGTAGTATAAATGTTCGTTTAATGTTCGTTTAACTTTGGCTTAATTTGTCATAATCGCCAACAGCTGAAGGGATGATGTAAATCCTGCTGGGGTCCATGCAGGTAGCAAAAGTACTGTAAGTCCCCATGGACCCTAGCATGGTGATCTACCTTCGGTTGCTGGCGATCTATAGCCCTTTTTTATCCCCCGCCGGGCCAGAATGGCCGAAGGGGGGTTATGTCGTGGCGCAGTCCGTCCGTCCCACAGAGGGTACTAAGCTTGTGAAATCAACTCCTCCTACAGTTTCCAGAGAATATCCCTGACCCTCTACACACAAGATGTCGACATGTTGATGATACTCATATCGCAGTCCCATTACGTTTCGACTAATTTTGACAGTTACTGCCCCTGTTTTACGGAGCTTCATTTGCCTTTTTGTGAGAGAGGGTACTTAGCTTGTGAAATCAACTCCTCCTACAGTTTCTAGTGAATATCCCTGACACTCTACACACAAGATGTCGACATGTTGATGATACGCATATCGCAGTCCCATTTCATTTCGACTAATTTTGACAGAGTTGCTGCCCCTGTTTGACAGAGCTTTTTTTGCTTATTGTGAGAGAGGGTCACGTCAGAACGACCTTTCATCCGACCAATCAGAGTGTTGCTTACCAAATCATGAAAGTGACAGTCAGAATCTGATTTTTAATCATGCAGCCTCGAAAACGTTAAAACGGGGTATTCCGAACGATAGTTACGGGCTCAACGACTGAATCTATACAATCAACACCATATATTAGACATTCTAGAACGTTCTTTTGTTCAGGTTTCAAATTTTTAAGCAAGAATTTGTCAAAATATGTTTCGAAGAGTAGTCACCAATTTAAAATTAGTGCCATAAAGCATGAGAAATCTTCCTTCTGATTGGCTAATGTCGACTTCTTGTCAGTAATTGCATTGGTCGGTCAGAGTTTGTGAAAGGTCGGTCTGACGTGACCCGTAATGGGATGTCCTCAGATCTTTGTTTAGCGGCAGCGAGAGCTAAGATCTGATTTTAATGAGGTTGGACTGTTGTTCAAGTTCCTTGGCTACATTGTCTTTGGACATGTCGGACAGGCAGCGAGCTCTGTCACGGACAATGCCCTTACACGAGTTCAGTGTCTTGTGCACTGAGACAACAACCTTGATATTGACAAACTCATTTACTTTGAGAAGATTGACAGATTGAGGTCTCCGTGCACATTCTACAAGGAGGAAGCCAGAACGAAGCTTTGTGACATTTGTAACCTCTCCGCAGACATCAATGATACCTTTATAGATTGCCAATGGATTGAGTTTGATTGGTTCTTTGTCTAAAGCTTCTATAACCAAGAAGCGTGGCACAATAATCGGATCGAGTAGGCATAGTATTTTCGTCAGTCTCTATGTGTCTTTTTTTTGAACCAGGGTGTTGGGAAGCCATGTCGAAAGGAAAGTAATTCTGCACCCATTTTCCCCACCCACCATGAAGTGTCTATAAGGACAGTCTTATGCGGATCTCCAAGCTTCAAAGACTGGGGAAAAAGGGGCGGTATACTGCAGCAAATTTGAAAAAGCTATAACTGTCTACCATATTAAGGGTCAGACTGGTTCGGCCTATGACAGTTAATTGGAGACGCACAGAATTCGGAGGTCAGCATCACAAGATTGGCTCATGAGCCACCGCCTTCTGAGCATAGGGCTCTAAGCAAGTTTTATACATTGATAGATATGATATAGACATGTAGAATAGATTTATTTTTAAATACCAAAAGTGTGCGTGAAATATTTTATGCACAGGGCATGACATGACCAGCCGATTGATAGAATCGGGCCCATTCTAGGTAAAGTTAGGGTCGAAGTGGTGTGTTGGACTAAGGAGCACTATTGCCGGCTCCGTCGCCCTCAACCACCAGAATCCCTTCCCCTGCCGACACAGTGTCGCCGCCCTATTCGGTCGCCTTTTATGACCAGCAATGGGGTGCTAAGGACACGTTCTTGTTTATCTTCCCCTGGTCCCCACGGGGAACCTCTCAGAAGAAATCCTCGATGGAAAAAACACAACTCGTTGTACAAACATGATTGTGATCCAACCAGAAGGACTACCACAAAGTAACTTTGGTTATGACGGGTCAAGGACATCTCCGCGTGAAAGAAGTCTGCAGAATATTTCAACACCGCCATTGTAATTTTACTTTAGACGAAAGCATAAGCCTTGTATTCAAATACGGACGACACGTGAAGATTCCGGGGTAGAATAGGTCTTCAGCAACCCATGCTTGCCGTAAAAGGCGGCTATGCTTGTCGTTAAAGACGACTAACGGGATCGCGTGGTCAGGCTCGCTGACTTGGTTGATGCATGTTATCGATCCAAATTGCGTGGATCGATGCTCATGATATCAATCACTGCATTGTCTGGTCCAGACTCGATTATTTACAAACCGCCGTCATATAGCTGTCTTAAATGGCATTGGTAGGAACACAGCCTTGATGGATTTAAAGCAAAATGCACATCTCTTGACGAGTTTTGATGAATCGTTTGAGGTGTCTGATGATGTAACGCAGACCTGTGAAAAATACACTGTATTTTGTAATTCTTCGTCAAGCAGAAGCAGTTGTGCTATTACTTTTCGATACCTACATGTTTTAAAGAATCAGAAGTATAGTATGAATATGTCACTGTGCCAGACGACACTGAAGCTCCATATTTAGAGAGTAAACTACCAAACAGCCATTTGGAAGTGGTCTCTTTCAGAGCCAGCCGATTGTTCCAGATCCTGAAGAGCCTGGGTGGGACAACGTATGCTATCCTGTCCTTACTGATGGGCTCCCAGCAACGAAAGGACCCGTGAAGCTCCGGGGTAGAATAGGTCTTCAGCAACCCATGCTTGCCGTAAAAGGCGCCTATGCTTGTCGTAACGGTATCGGGTGGTCAGGCCCGTTGACGTGGTTGATGCATGTCATCGATCCCAATTGCGTGGATCGATGCTCATGATATCAATCACTGCATTGTCTGGTACAGACTTATTTACAGACCGCCGTCATGTAGCTGGAATATTGCTGAGTCTTCCTAGCTAGTTGCATTCAATCAGTGTCCAAACGAAAAGATATCAATCTCGGAGGGGAAGTTCCCAAAATAAGGATTTTGAATTGAAAAGTGACCGCAGACCGCCGTCATAGCTGGAATATTGCTGAGTGCGGCGTTAAACATTAAAACAACTAACCAACCAAATCCAGCACCGAAAGGCCTTCTTCAACTTCATATCTGTACATGTAAAAGTCAATGTACAGGAGTGAGAGAGTTAGATATAGCGCTGATTTTAACAGTTTTACAGTTACATCGCAGCGTGTCAGCTTAAAGTGGGAGGAAAGCTCGAAGAGATGCAGGTCTCAGGCATTTACCACTTTGGTGAAACCCACGAGCACGGGTATGGTGCTGACACACCTAGAAACATAATTGGGGCGAACCGGAATTCGAACCAACAATCATAGGTTCCTGGCGTGCCCAAATGACGCAACTCTGCACAGCGAATCGGGGCACCTTAGACGACCCCCTCGTTGACATTGACATTTACTAGCATGTCATTTAGGATTGCTCTATCACTTAGCGGTATGGATCATTTTAAATACCGAGTGCACTTGAGACAATAATAAGACTTTTTTATAATCAGTATATGAATTTTGTTCTTGGTGAAACAGATTGAGTTATCTGCATCATCATATCGTGTTTGTTTTGTAAACAAAAAGATGAAAATGTTATGTATGAGATTGATCTTTGTTCAACGCCTTTAGAAGTGTACATTTAAGACTGTTCATTATGTCGTTTATAACAAACAAGCTGATAGCGCACTTCTCTTTGGTCCTGGCCAAATGAAATGAAATTTTGCACCTGACAAGGGCAGCTGTACTGTAGTCATGCAAGGTAGATGATGACAACCGGTCTTAAATCAAATTTAAATCATTCCTGTTGACGGTATCATGTTAGTGTGTCTTTGTTACATGTCCTCATCGATCCTTTAATTGGTTAAGAATAATATCAGACCATGAACTCGTGTTGTGTTAGTGTTGTGATCAGCAAATTACCAGGACTTAATAACCGATTAAAGATGTCTATTGATTAATAAGCAACAGCACCACCGAAGCTACCCCAAAATATCCTGTCACTGTCATTGCCCTATTGATTTCTTGCTTGCTTGCGCCAACACTTCGACATTGTGTCGCCATCGTTTTTAAAGCTATAGGGGCGGTCGGGTAGCATTGTGATTAAAACGTTCGCTCGCCATGTGTGAAACCTATTTCTGGTATCCCCCGCCGTGATATTGGTGGAATATTGCTAAAAGCGGTGTAAAACCATACTCACTCACTCAGGTTAAAGCTATAATCATCAATTTAAAGCTTGACTTTCTAAGGTTTTGGGGGTGCATGTTTACCTTATAACAATAGTGAGACAACTGTAGCACTATATAGCTCGATAATTGAGCTGCTGGTAGCCGTCTGCACCAGGTAGATTGCCTTGTTGACCATGCGGTGCAGAACCACATGAACACTTAAGACTGTTGATCCTGGCGGTCATAGTGGCAGGTAATGGATGCTCCAATTGCCTGGGGAGTAAATACGGCTACCTTAATGCCAAACTGGGCCAAAACGAACCAGCGAATATCACATTTTTAATGAACACCATATTATAATCATGTACGATAGTGCACATAACTCACATCAATACCGGAAGTGACCTATGAGTCAGCAGTGACAATTGCCTAAATAGTCATCACTTAGGGCCATTAAAAAGTCGGTTTCATTGTACAAGTTGTCAGTATAACCAAAGTGACATATTGTGAAATGGACTTCAATGAATGTAAACCAGGATCCGCTACTATATTTCATTGACCCTTGGAGCCCGCATCGTTGCTTGCAACTATATTTATTATTATTATTATCATATTATTTATCATTCCGCCGATTTTTGTACCAGAGCTAGCAAAATAACCACTGGCTCGATTTTGTTAATTTCTTTTGTGTGTAAGACCGTTGACTACTAGATTCCATCACTTGTGTGTATTATTATTAAGATGCATGTGTTAAAAATTACTAATTTAATTTTGTTCAGAGATGAGAGACATTGATGCTGCTCGAAGATCCTTGGCACTAGCTATTGTTGATCGAAAAGCAAAGATACAGCATGAAAAAGGACGCAAGAGATTGCTGGACCTAGTTTGTTTGAATTTGAAGATGATGGAGGAACAATTAGAAAACACTCTGAGTCATGCTGATTCTAAATCGCAAATAGCACAACTGGAATCGTTAACCATAGACATACAAGACAAATTAACAGAGATTGTCAGTGTACACAATAAACAGTATTCGATGCAGAGTAAGTATATCCTTACTGATTTTTATGCTGAGGAAATACAATTCAGTGTGTGCCAAACACTGCCTTATTATCTAATAATGTTTTTTGACATATTTAGGCAGACATTTACTGCTCTTTGCGACGTCAGTGATGCTTTGAAATAGATTGGTATAAGAAGGATTAATGCTGTGGCAATTCATCGATCACTCAGTCGATTTTCATGTTCATTGTCGCATTAAGCATTTTAGTACATTTGAAAAGCTTAGAAAATAGCCAAAGCATTTGATTTACACGGTGAACTTATGTCAGTCCCGGTGCATTCTTTTGCCATTAAAATTTTGACAGGACCACACAGTGCAGCTGATGAGAAACATGGGTTACCGACACTGAAGACCAAGGCAGGGTAAGAATATATTTTGCTTTTGACCTATTACCATTGAAATGGGGGCACGGGTGGCCCAGTCGTCTAAGGCGTCGCAATTCGCTGTGCAGAGTTGCGTCCCTTGGGCACGCCAGAAACCTATGATTGTGGGTTCGAATCCCGGTTCGCCCCGATTATGTTTCTAGGTTTGTCAGCACCATACCCGTGCTCGTGGGTTTCACCGAAGTCGTAAACGTCTGAGACCTGCATCACTTCGGGCTTTCCTCCCACATTAAGCTGACACGCCGTGATATAACTGGAATAATGTTAAAAGCGGCGTTAAACCCAACTCACTCACTCACTCACCATTGAAATATTTCAACTTAAATCAGTCCAGGTAAGCCTGTAAATATACATATATAGAAACGGCAAATTATAGGAAATATCTGCAGCCAGAACCCCTCGGTCCAGAAACTTTCAATACCACGGTAATGAGGAAAAACTGCAAAGTTAACTGTTTTCAATGAATACGAAACGTATCACATGTCACCCTAAGGATGGGGTATTGAAGTGATACTGATATCTGAAGGTTGATACTGTTTAAAGTTCAAGATCGCAGTGATGATAGTTCTATCCCATTAGATTGTCTGGTCCAGACTCGATTATTTACAGACCGCCGTCATACAGCTGGAATATTGCTGAGTGCGGCGTTATACAACAAACCAACCAACCAACCAACCAACCGTGTGTTCAAACATTCGATTAACTGAAATTGAGGGTAAAACACAGGCCTAAGAGTGAACTTTATGAAACTATCTAGAGTAATAATTCTTTCCGATAAAACATTCCCTCAACATCATGTTATGTCATTTAAATGGAAGTGCATATTGAATTAGCTTGTGGTATTGGACTGTTCATCTTAACGTTACTGCATGTTTCTATAACCATTAGGAAACACATCACAGATCAACTTCTGTACTTCATCGGATGGCATTTGAACTGATTGGAATACCGTTGATAATATTTTCCTACCCAAGATAGTGCATTTGATTGGTATTAACAGACAAATAAATTCTATGTATGTTAAATATATAATTTTTACTATATATAATGTGGCGATATACACGATTTTTGTTGTTGCTTAATGATAGGTATATAGCAAAAAATATTCCCATACTTACCTTAAGTTCGGCTTATTTAATAAGATGTATGTGTGTGTTTGCTAACGAAGCAATCATTTCCAATGATATGGCATTAAAAGAGTTGCCGATAATGTGATAATGGGATTTTATTTTGTTCTCTGTTGTAGCTTTGATGAGAGTAAAGTACAACAAGATAACTATATACAATCTACCGAATTTGAGATGCCACAATGCAGTAATCCTGCCAATACTTCACAAATCACTAACCAGGTTACATCCAGGCCACCAAGACAGGACAGCTTCTCCAATGACAGCAGTAATCCTGGTGAGGTGTCACACATGGAACCAAAATACGAAGGAGACCAATCATTCTCTCGACCCAATTTGCATCAAGTGGGTGAATCACGCCTCACAAACGAAGAGACACCAAGATCGCCAGAGCAGAATATGGAGGACCTCTGTGTCGTACCCCAAAATATTGTGAAAAGAATGAGTGAAACTTTCCAGTGATCTCACCAACTGTTGTCTATATTGGTAAACACCATCGACAGTTATGACTGTACCAACCATGGTAACTGAAACACACTCACATCAACCAGTATATAATGCTTGTAAGAGACAGCATTTATCGGACAGACAGACTCTTTTTCTTGGCTGGTTGGATTGTTGAGCATGTTTCCAGTCATTAGTTTGCATGGTCAAGATTGTAACAATTACCTCTGATACGCTGTAGATTATTCTGGCCACGGGGATGACAAACGTTATTCATTTTCAAGTTTCATGGTATTCCAAACAGACAATCACTATATTGACAGAAAGCATAACTGAGAGCACAGCAATTGCATGTCATGTTATATTCCCTGAACCGTTTGTTATACAAATAGGAAACATGATATATAAATTACTCGAGTACAAAGTATTAACCAGTGATATGTATAACTGGTTCTGGACCATATACATGTTGTATGAGAACTCAGTTCAATTTGTAGATGACTTACTTATGAATGTATACGTAGTCAGGGCAGGTTTGATACCCAAGTACATTGTTAAGTATTAAATTTCAATCTGACCGAGACTCGATGATTAACACAATTCCGCAATGTACGTTTCCGACTGTATATGTACAAGATGATACCAAGTGTTTCGCGAATACAACAAACAAGAAAGTCACCCACTCTGGGATACGTGTTGCAGGACTTTGCAAACATATGATTGTCATATTTACTGCTATCCTACTTGGGAACAAGCGACATCATCCTCAAATGTATTGAACAGATAATGTGATTGTGGCTTCTCAACACATGATATAGCACACCACCTGGGGACCTATATTGACGCAGTGTATACTAAACCTTCATCTTCAAACAGAGATTACCCAGTTTTCGCCTTTCAAAGTTTCCCCAATGCATCAATCATATTGCCATGGCACTCTTAAAATAAGATAATTACATATTTAGAATAAAAACCCACCTGCGGAATAATCAACGTCTCCTGCCAGTGCGCACACAAGCAATCTAGATCTGGTGGTAATCAACAATTAGTTAAATACATGATATCATTTTCCCATGGAAACCTGACGAGCATGAACCGCCTAAGTGTATCCCTAGGCCTTGTGATTAAATATATTTTGCTTGACTGTGTAGCAATCGCAAGGTCGTATTATGAACCAGCAAGTTGAGAGATATGTTGCCCTGTTCGTGATTGATTTTGAAATACTTCAAAGAAATTGTTTTGTGCTGTAAATAGTGAAAATGTTATTGTTTTATAGTTCAGGTGATTGTCTGGATATGTTTTACTTTCGACGTATGGTATGTTATGTTTCATCTATATTTACCATTTTCTCTTACTGTATATCCTTTTAATGAATGTATAATTTGCTCTGGTCGATAGATGGCTGAGATATTGCCATTGCGGCGTTAATTTCACTCACTAACATTTCTGTTCATGGCCATGTTTAACAATGTATTGTTATTATGACAACATCTGTGACAAGAAATCCCAAAACAAACCTCACAAAGAAGAGCAGATTCATGTAGGTGAACCCTTAGGGGGTCAATGTACACATATTAACTATATTTTTATTTCCAAGGTACCACACACGTATCTTCTGAAAAAGAAAACCATTTTTGCTAAAAAGGATAAACTGTTTTAAATCCCGTTTATATTAATGTTAAATTTTAGCTCATCTGACCGAAAGTCAAGTGACCTTTTATTGTGGGGGTTGTCTTCTCTGAAATTACAAGGCCTATGTAGCTGAAACTTTGTATGTATGATCCCTTAAACTTCCAATTCGATTTTGAACATGGCTGAAACTGCGACCATATTGAAAAAAATCATTTGAAGGCCATTACCAAGCCATTTCTGCATGCATCATGCGCTGACCTTTTACTTTGCATACATCCTCTTGTTTCTCCTCTGAAACTAGAAGACCGATGGTAATGTAAATTTTTCATGAATGTTCTTACTGCTGTGAAGCGTCAGACAACGAACACATATTTTTTTATGCAAATTTTGTGAATGGCGGGTCAAAGATTTTCAGTGATCCATTCATATATTTTTTATTCACATATTTTGCCTTTTACACCCGATGGAATCTGTTTCGTCTGGCGTTTAGCTATGATGTCTCTTATGTTAAACACTGTGCCTACCAGATAAAGAAACCCTTTAATTGAAAATTTGAATCCTTTTGATATTTAGAAAGGTGTATTTATAAGTGGGGCCTAACACATATGTTCCATTTTTTGCGATAATGACCATGATTCAACCTTTACAGCGTAATAGTTTGTGTCACCAAAGAGAAAATGAGAAAAGAGAATTTTTTTATTGGTAATAAAATTTAAAGTAAATGCAATATTGGAATATCATTGATTAGACGACACCACACACGAGTTTGCCAACCTGTGTCATCAATATTATCTGCATGCAGTGGGGAGCAATTGATGAAAAGAATGCTTTTGCATATAGTTCCCATGGAAACCGAACCTGTTTTTGAAAAGAAATTATTCGAGCATTCAAATCCCGGTTCGCCCCAATTATGCTTCTCGGTTTTATCAGCACCATACCCGCGCTCGTCGGTTTCACCAAATTGGTAGACGTCTGTGACCTGCATCACTTCGGGCTTTCTTCTTACATAACGCTGACATATAACTTGATTACTGTTCTAATCGACGTTAAGCCAACTCACTCACTCACTCACTCACTCACTCACTTACCCACTGATTCGAGCAACTGAGGAGAGCCAGGCAGAGTTTCGTCATTGATATAGAAGAACATAGCGAAACCAGTTCAAGCAGGCCCCAGCAAGATGGTCAAAGCCAAAACAGCCATTGTATACACGTTGAGATAAGGACAAGAGACCTAGTCTCTCTCTTGTGGGGGAACTACTTAAAGGTCCATAGCCCCGTGACATCTAGTTACTTCGACATTGATCTTTGATAAGAGTTGAAAGAGTTGTGTACTATTACCATGCTCTTAAAAATCATCCTAGGTTCATGTTGATCATAATCTGTGATTTGTCAACACCAAATCCGTTCTCTTGGGTTTCTAAAAAAGGTAAAAATCTATTAAATGTTATACTTAAAAGAATATTTTACTATTAATGAATAAAAAAACTAACAAAGTCATGCCATCAGCGGTGGTTTATATCACAAAAGCACAATCTGTTATTTCGTAAAGGCTGTCATAATATAGCTGTTATATCGTTTCCAAAACATACCATAACATTCACTAATATCACTTATCATCCATGCACAAGCACTTGTACACAATACAAGTTCGAGGCCAACTAAATTCCGCTGTCACTTACACTTAAGTCATAAGCGAAACAGTAATAAATTTAACTTCTACTTTGCAGTAGAGTCCTCACAGGACTACTGTCACTTTGTAATATGTAACTGTATCTTTCCTTACAATCTATTTACAGCAGGAATGTATTTCATGCAATGCCATGCACAGCAAACTGTGGGCATCCATTCAGACCCACCAATATAGCATCACGAAGAATTGTCACATTATTTTTGTCGCATAATTTTCAATGCGTATGTTGTTGTTTTTATCTCATTTTAAAATTAGATGTCAAATGGCATCACCCATCTCAAGGTTTCTGTGCGGATTTAAAAAAAAAAATTCAGAATTTTATAAACAATAATTGCATTCGTCACAATGTAAACAATATCATTTTTAGTACCAAGGATAGAGATTCATTTTCAAATGTAAAGCATGACCTATTAGTGTCGTTGATGACATTCTGATTGCTCAATACATTCAATTCATTAGAGATCGAATACAGTAATTTGGATGATAGATGACCCAAAATGTTCAAAAGATGTCACTTAATGCTCTTCTATAATGTTCATACCATAAATCTGAAAAATTGCATTACCTAAGGCTGTTACCACTGTAAACAAGTAGTACATTATAAGGGCCTGATTGGCATCGATGGACAAAAAACACCCCCGCGGTATAGTGGATAAAGCGTCTGCTCGGATCCCATGGCCGCGTCATACCAAATGGCGTTGATAGATGGTACTTGTTATTCTACCTGTCGCTCTGCATTAATTGGATAAAACAAGAACTGTTCGACTCTGAGTCTGTTAACTGTGTCTTAGTGGAGTACTCATGTTGAACTGTGGCATGGTGTAGTGGAGTATCCATGTTAAACTGTGGCATGGGATCTCATTGGGTTATCACTATAACGCCAGCTTCAGTCCTAAGTAGAACTAACACAAGCAGCCACATTTCCATGTACGTCACTACAGAAGTGCACCAATCTTAAAGCCTATTTCACCTTACCACCACATCCATGGACAGTTAGCTTGGATACACTGAAGGGTGATCACACTCCGTATGTTATTCATGATCATTTTTATTCTCCATCCATCAGCTGTATGAAGGTGGTTATTTATCTGAAAACAATTTTAGTGTTTCTATATTTTATGATTGACACAAAAACAAAAACGCAGTAGTCTTTAAAAACATTAAATTGTAGTATACAGACAGATACTCATTAGTTTCCTTAAATATTGAAGGCACATGACATAAATTTATGATAGAACAGAAAATTAATCCATGGAAAGTTTAGTGAGATAATATCACGTTGACATATTTACGCGATTTACAAATATCATGTCTTATATAGCTGTAACTGCTAACAGTTTAAGGCCTTGACATACATACTACTCGCCCAATTTTTCCGACACCCTCGTGCTATAAACTTGCTAGTTTCCTACCAGAACGGTCGTACACTAATATTTGAGAACAGCTTTATATTACAAAATATTATGTAAACGCTATGCCTATGACAGACTATTCTGAAGCAAGACGTCACAACTTTGGAGACCCTAATGCGGGATATAACCGAAAGAGTCAAACGCAACGCTTCTAAAGGTGCTAGAGTTCACGAGAGAGCTACGTGAAATTATGGAATGTTTGGGGCAGTAGATACTGCACTCGAGGTCAAATGAATCTCCTACTATATTGGATACATGATATTGCTGACAAGGAAGATTTGGAGCTCTGTATAAACCTGTCTTCGACTCCATCGATGTTCCGATTCCCAGATTTTGCAGCATATGAACACCACAGGCCCAGTGCTTGTGACAGAGATCGAGTTACATTTATTCGCACCGCAGACAGACAGTCCTTATTGATGAAATATATATCCGCCGACAAAGAAGGAATACTGTTAGAACTGACTAACCTCCCTGCACAAATCAGGCACACGCTGAACTGGCCAAAAACGCTTACCCTCTATGTAAAGATCACATATATTAAACAAGACTCGAAATGGGTCTGGATGTAATCCTTAAATACCGGATAAACCCTATTTCAGCCTGGATACCACTGGTACACTGAGACTAACTCTCATGGAATGAGGTGTCTTTTACCTTTTGTGCATTTGTCTCATAACTCAATTCCTAGCCTAGGTACACTTTGTGTTTTTTATACTTACTTCGAATACATATACCTCTAAGTAGCAGAACCTTTTACTACCTTAATTTAAGTTCAGGTGTAACGGTTATTATCACCCCCTCCGAGATTGCTTTCATAATTTTATGTATGCTTCGTAATGACTGAGTGACGATTGTAGGAGTACCTGAATGCGTACCGGATCAAGGGGAGAGAACTGTTGGTGGCCTATAAGCTACCAGCACCAACATGGCACAACCAACTGCACCGTCTGTGTCAAGGGACCTACGGAGTTGTTGAAGCAGCCACACACGTACGTATATACGCCTCTAGATAAGTGCAACAATACGAGGGCTGACCAAAACGTTCTAAGCCTAACAACAAAAACAACAACCATGAAAGTGTTTTTTGTTTTGTTTTTATTGTTCAAGATAATCTGCTGTTCAATACACTTCTCATATACATAGTGAAGCTTTTCAATCCCTGTGCTTTCCCCGAATGTGTTTCTTTCAGTGGTGGAAATCTCTTGGTGCCAGGTCTGGCCAGTATGGAAGGTGAGAAACATTACGAATCCATATTGTCGCACTGCAGCCTTTGTCGAGAAGTGTGACAAGAGGCATGTCATTGTCATTAAAGAGTAGAACTCCAGCCTTCCTCGCCTTTTTTCTTTGAAAGAATCTCTCAGGCAATGAAGCAACTCAGCCTTGATAACCATCCGCATATTATTCATTAGCTACACACACGCATGCACACACACGAATGCACGCACACGCACGCACGTACGCACGCACTCGCACAAGGACACAGACACAAACATACACAGACATTCATGCGCGTCGCTATGTAAGTGCAATAATCTTGAACGTGACGTCAAAACCAGTTTCTCTCCTGAGAGATTCAAATTATGTTCAATCTGTCAAACATGTGTTATTATTTCAGTTATGAAGCAGTATTCCACTGGTAAAGATAGGGATATGATAGATGTGTCTACAAGTAACTTTGTAGGTGATGATCAGCTGTTGATCATGGAAACACTTCTCATGGAGATTAGGTGTAAAACTACCTCCTATTGTTCCTTTAGGAAAGAAACTTGATTAAAAAGAGAATATATTTTCCTAATGAAATTTATGAAAATGACCCTGGAAGTAACAAAGTTGACAGAAGTAAGTATCAGGGAAAAGGACGGAAGGTACTTTAATCAGGTCCAGAGACAAGTGGATTGACGAGGGGAGAAAGTCATCCGATGTTTTTTTCGTGGCTTGGAAAATAGAAACTTCAAAATGCGTGTGTATAGCTAATGGTAGACGATGTCTCAAGTTGCGTTTGGCTGATGGAACACTGATTGATGAAACAAAGGTTATTGTTTTGGAGGCTATCTTTTTTTATGACACTGTTTATTCCTTTCAAGGACATTCGATAACAAATTGTAATGTTTTCAGATGCGGATTTAAAAAAGTAAAGAAAGGAGGATGCGGATTTATTATATACAAACACAACAAATCTCTGGCTCACATATGAATTCTATAAGTTCTTTAGGAAAGATTTGTTACCGTTTCTGATCAAATCTGTTGATTGTGGATTTTTGAATGGTCATCGTTTCTTTCCCAATACATCGTATAAGCTCCTCTCTGTAGTTATTGCTGAACGTATGAAATCCGTTCTCTCCAAACTGATATGTTTTTGACTAAACTGGATTTCAGTCTGACAGGTACATTGGCAATAACGTAAGACTCTCTCCCCATTTTATCTTGTGCGTTGAGGTTCTTGCTGCCCTCATTAGGAAAATTCGGGGGCACGGTCTAAGGCGCCGCGATTCGCTGTTAGAGCTACGTCCCTTGGGCACACCAGAAACCTATGCCTGGGTTCAATTCCCGGTTCGCCCCGATTATGTTTCTAGGTTTTTCAGCACCATACCCGTGTTCGTGGGTTTCGCTGAAGT